CGGTAACGTGTTCAAGCTCCTCCGGTTACTCCTGTAATTGTTCATGTATTATCCATATTCCTGTGCAGTGCGATTTAGCGATTGTGTTTCATTAACCACCCTCTGTCGTACCCAAAGGCATCATCCTCCAAACCGGTGAGAAGCTACCGTGTTTGAGGTACTGAGATTTCTCAAAGCTGTACTACACCCCCCCCCCCCCCCAAAGGCACCTAAGGTTTCCTCTGCTGTTACAGACTACTGGCACCAAGAATGTCTTCTCATTCAGGTGCCTGTATACAAAGTGGTTTGAATGCAGATAATTTTACACCTTCCGTCTATTACTGCGCCAGACCTCTGTGACAATCTTACAAATGTGAAGAGCGAGCCAAGGTGTCTTACCAAAATGCTGATGCACCTGACCTTTTCAGCATGTGACTCTTGTTCACTGATGGCTTAGTAAAAATGGTCTCTAAATCAAAGCCCCTGACAGCAAACATCCTTTCCCTAGCTGAGCTCTGCAGATCTGTACTGTGCGGATGGACCTGAATTTCATGACCGGCCCATTTCTAGGTGGGCTTTAGGATGAACTTCGCTGTGAGCAACCTCTTAGAGACCAACACCACTACAGGCACAAAAGAGGAGGTGGCTTTAGACGGGGATCTTACGTCTTTTTACCCAGTCTGTTTGACCTTTATTACACAGTGTCTTGCGTAACTAACATTTATTAGACAAGAGGTCTCCCTTCTCATTAAAGGAGTCATAGGTATTTCTAATTGCTTTTGATCATTTTCCTTTTGTTTGACTTGTCATCCTCAGACTACCAGTAGTCAAGATAAATTGTGCATACTTCAGTTGAAACATGGTCTTATTATTAAGGATTCTGTCTTCCACTGTGAAACATTTAGATTCTTATCAAGTAGTAGTTGTTTTTTTTTAAACAAACTGCAAATCCCAGATCTTTCAGCTTACACTAGCACTGTCCCTAAAACCACTACCCGCAGTAATTCTGTATAAAGTAGCAACGATAGAGCCTACATCTAGGACTCTGTAGTAGCTTTCTGTTAAGCAGAGTTTGAATTTATTATCAGCCATGTTCTTTAATTCACCAGTCAGCTTAGATCTCAGTAAGGCGATTTTAAGCAGTCATATATTTATTTCCCTTTGGTTGTCTGTAAGCTAAGAGCATACTCAGTCAGCCAGCTGAATCACTGGTAACTCAATCACATCTGTGAACCCTAAGGTAATGTTTGTCTCTGGGATGTACTTCCTGCTTATTTTAATATATAAAAAAAGCTTTTGTTATATATGCAGGTACATGTTTTGAAACAGTTTCAGATTGTTGCAGTAGCTCCACCCTTAAGTGGAGTATTTTTGAAAAAAAGCATTACAGATGGATCAGAAATGCAGTTCAGAAATGGAAAGTTTGATTGTGGACACACTGCTGCTGTTCAGATCATCCAGAAGGGCAAAATGGTCTGAGGGAGAAAGTTGTATTACCACCTTAAAGTATACACAAATTTCACTGTGATATTTAAATGGACAGCACTATTGACTACATAAGAGCACACACTAAGGAGACAAATGCCAAAACTTGCTGTATACGTAACCAGTTGTTAAATAGTATAGTTAAGCCTTTTCTTCATTTTGGGATTGTGGCACTGTAAAACGTATTTTGTGTAGTTTGCAGGTAACGATAATTAAAGCTTTCTGCCACAGAAAGGCTCAGGCAAAGTAAACACTCCCTAGAAGTTAAATTGCTTCCTTTGGCTTGGGAGCAGAACTACTTAAGTGTCGTTTTTTGTATTATTTAGCTGACTAAAGCTCTTCTCCTTTTAGTATTATAAATGGTCTGTAGGAAACTCTCTGAAAGGCTTTCATGGCATAATGACAGGTAAACACAGCTCTTCGGAAGAGTGAACATTTTTTTCTACATCCAGTTAAGCGTAGAGGTAAAACTCTTTTCTACCCAACTCAACAGCCATCTAGTTGCCTCATAGTCTTGTTTTGGACTCGCCCTTGTATTGCATCAAAGTTTTAATTCTAGCAAGCAATGTCCTTGCCATTCACTGCTTTAGTATTAAGAGACTTCTAAGGTTCCAACAATGCAATTCGAGACCAACTGAGAGGTGTTTCGATTCTCTGGCAGAAGATAAATTTCAGCACATCTGAAGGAATCGCAAGTTCCCCAAACCTAGTTTTAGAAAACTCTTCAGTGATACTTCTCTAGCAGTGCTCCTTTATATCCACAAACATGAAAAGAAACCATGAAGCCTGGCCAAAAAACTTTAGCAGGAACTTTATTCTACAAAGAGAAGGCACACTTACATTCAGTGTCATATAAAGTAGGCTCTAGTGGAAAAACAAAAACAAAACAAAAATAACACAAACAACTGTAAAGCAAAACCGTACAGAGGTATTTCCAGACAAGAAATCACATTGTAGTCCATGAGTCAGGTAAATTTCAGGCTTTTTGCATGGTTTCCACTCCCTGTTCACAGATGTAACATTTTAATTTTCAGTCCTCTCCTCTGTGCATTTCTAAGGCAGAGTCAGGGCAGCAGTTTTTATGACAGAGGGCCTAATACAGAAAGTTAACTGAGGTCTGACAATTGGAGATAAGAAATGAAATACCAGTACAGAGAACAAACCCAAAATAATTCAGACATCGTATGATTTCAGTTAGAGAAGTCACAGAGGGAACGGATGACAGAAGTACAGGATCAAATGTTTGTCAGCCTCACAGAGGGCATTTTAAATAAAAAGGTTCTGTTAGGCACACTGACTACAGCTATGGAACTTGCTTCTAGTTTCCAACAGAAGGAAAGCAAAGATAATATATTCATCAAGTTGTACCACTAGACAAATATAAATCAACCTGTTTGAAGAAACAAATATATCGTATCTACGCATACAGCACCAAAATGTTTTATTTGAAAAATAAACACTTAAGATTAATTTTTAAAATAACATAATATTGCAACTACATTTCAGCATTTTGTCAAATCAAAAGTATATCCTTAGGTTGCAAACTGTTCATTTCAGTGGTCAAGCCTTAAAAGGATCAACATGTTTGATCTGAAAAGTGCTGCAGAAGTGAGTTTGATATATGATCAGGTAGAACTATAGTGCAGGTGTATGCTCTTTTTAAGGGCCTGTTCTGGTGTTTTTTCACACAGAAGAGCATACATCAGAGAGAAATGAAGTCAGTTTATCCCCGTGAGATTCTACCAAACGCATGAAAGTACAGGATATTTAAGATGCCATATTAAACTCACACAAAACAGTCTTTCTTGTTGGAGCCATCAGATGCATCAACTCTAGTAACCTAAAATTTGACCTACATTAAAAGAATATCTGAGAATTCAATACGGCTCTTCTGCACCTCTGATTTCCCTATTATGCAGTTCTTTAAAGGTTTTTTTAAAGTTTTTTTTAAAGTAAAAAAGATACTAGTGTCTTACAATAGCACACCCTGAGCTTACAGACACATGCCAAAGGAAACAAATTTCAGTTTCCAAGCCCATGGGGTTTGCGGGGGGGAAGAGAAGGAAGGCTTGATTTTTTGTTTTAAACTTTAAGAAGAGTATCGTAGTGGCTTTCAAACCAGTATATTCGTATCAGTGTTTAATATATTACCTTCTGAAAAGTCTAAAGCTTTGTTACTGAACACTGGCCTCATTCCAGTTGAGTCTTTTACTTTATTCCATACCATGAGCTCTCTTATCTTCCTTTAGAGATCTGTTTTATCCTCATACTGACACATGCATGCAGCTCTCTGGCTGTCCAGGTAGGGTTTACATCCTAAATGTATAACTGCATCAAACAACAGCTGAACTGTTGATTCACAAGCTGCAAGAAAAGAGGAGTTTAGTTAGGAATACTCTTTAAATGGAATATGAGACTAATAGAAATGACTCTAGCAAACTGAAAGAGATTTTAAGAAAGAAACGATCCTCTCTGGTCATAGCAAGGAGACCATCAAACAAAAGACTGAACCAGTGCAGAATCATTTATTTTGTGACTAATGATGTTTCATATTCCAACCAAAATAAAATAAGCAAGCAAATTCATTGCAAGTGGATTGTTATCAGTGTTAGAAACATCGCTTAATCTTGGGAAGATGAAAGAGCTGCTTTACCCCTCACTTCTTGCAACTCAATTTATGACAAGCTTGCTATCTTTAACAGCAGCTCAACAGAACTGAACAAATATTCACTGCTTCCGACACAAACCACTAACAATATGACTTCTTGGCAGTCACGTGCATTTGAGAGGTGCCAACACAGGTTTGTTCTAAAAACTGACCGTTCAATGGAACTACTTACTGTAAGAGTGCCATTGTCCAAGTTTTAAAAGCAAGGTTATATAATGTACTGATCAAGATGCGGGCCGACAATCAGAAGGAACATGCTATGGGCTAAAATTTATGCGCTGAAGGACAGCATTAAGTGCTTGCACTCTAACCATATAGTATTCTAAGATCGTTACTTCATAGAAGGAAACAATTCAATATTTTTCTGCAGTTTACTAGCAATCACATGTAGTATACATTTAGAATTCATCCAGTAGAACAAAAATACTTGACTATAACACAGAAAATACAACAATTATTACACACACATTTGTATGAAGTCCTATTCCTGTCTTCATATACCCAGAAGGGGAGCATTAATTTTTTCTCAGGGTTAGTTTTAATCCTGATCCCTTTCTTACATTGTATCATTGCTCGGCTATACAAATGCTGCATGAGAGAGGGAGAGAACAAGGCTAGGATTGCCTCTCTCAGCAACAGCATCAGCTTATGAAAACGTGGCATTACTGTATAGCACAAAGGCTCCTTGCCAGTCAAACTTCGGAAGAAAAACATGCTTTTCAGACTTACCTTGTACACTTTCCGATATTCCAAGTGTTTTCTGTACATCTCTGCAGATTTTGGAGAGGCAGGACTGAAACTGCTCATCACAATCATTTTTTTTATTGCCACAAGTATCGTAGCATCTGTCATGCTGATTGCAGCACTTCGTCATCGAAGGGATACCAATGTCAAACTGCAAAGAAAATCCCCCACCACCATTGGTATTCCAGCTAGGAAAAATACAGTCTACGAATACTACAAATATGAAAGTTAGAAATTAAAAACTAATAATACAATCAATTCAGCTGTCATTCATTTATCTCTATGATTTGCTGTTCACCTCTAACAAGTTAATCAATATTTTCTCTCTAGTATTAAGGAAAATGGATTAGTGTCAGCAGGGAGAATAAAAGTCAGTCAAACCCTCCACTTGCACAAACCGAGGGCTACTGTTAGGGTTACCCAATGCTTTTGAAAATATTCAGGAAAATAAAACATTTTTACCATAAGATTAGAAATTAATCAACGCTCTGTTTTATCCCTATAATATTTTAGGTCACTGATGAAAATATTTCTGCTACATTTGTTTATCATCTTAACATTCTCCATGTGACATTACCAAAGCATGTGCTGGAGCTAACAGAAGTGGGAACATTGCACGTGGATGCTGTCCTCATCTTCAGGATGAGGGAGGAAAAGAACTCCTGCACTGAGGAAAGTCGATGTATGAAAGACCACATACAGGAAAAAAAAAAAAACCCAAAGAACAAATAGGCTTACCTGAACTCCAAACAGAGGAGATCCACAACCATTTGGTGGTGAGGGTTTATATCCATAGCGGGCAAAGGGCTTTGATCCTGAAAAAGGGAATTTATAATTCCTCAAATAGATTTATTTGCGCAGAAGCTTAGTCCTGTCAAACTGAGGTGTTTGGTGGGCTTAAGACAGTATCCGCCGTATTTTTGAACTAAACCTATGTTCAGGCATCTGAATATCAGCAGTTCTCACCAAGTAACAAGTTCAAAAGAAGAGCCCGAGTTAATAAGATTGATATACCAGTTAAGCGCGTGATATGCAGGAAATCATTAAAGAACAGGCAAGTTCTCTGAAGTATTAATGAACCTACCATCGAGTTCTCTACGCTGTGTATGCCATCAACAATACTACTGTGATTTTTCTTCACTTTAAGCTTTGGAAACTAGAATGAAGCCTAGAATTGTTGTTTTTTTTTATTTGTACAAGCGTACGTAGAATATGCTACAATAAAATTTAAATGAGGAGATACTGCCAAAGTCATGCCTCCCTGAACACGCAGTAGCACAGAAAGACTTCACATCTCAGGTCACGGAAAACCGTGGAGTCAGTTTAAGAAAACGACCCTTCACCTTATGTTGGTCCTGGGCACAAACCGAGGCCACGAGTAAAAGTAAGAGAGAAGGGAAAACAGGTGTGAGAACTGCCTGTTCCCGTGGAGGCAGGAAAAGGGCTAGCGCGTCGCGGCCGAGCCTTCCGCAGCCAGGCGGAC